CCATGGGACCAGATCCATCTTAGCCATGGGGCTTGCATGCCAGGCACTTATCAGGCAGGTGATGCAGGTGGCGGTGTCTCGCTGAGCCTCAGGCTGGGTGTTCAATGGTCCTCCGGAGTCTCCTGCCTCCACCTCTTGTGAAAGGCATCATATGCAAGCTGTCCTCCAAGTCTTAAGAGAGAATGTGTAACTAGAGGCCTTGAGCCTCATCTGCATGTTAGCCCTGGCATCAAGTCCTTGGCTCTACCATCCCCTCTCAGGGCCTTGGAGACACTGGGCAGGGGTCCAGGGTGGTGAGGAAGGAATTGCCATCCTGGAAACCCAGATAGGGTTGTGCAGAGTTTGTGCCGTGGCCTCCGTCAGCATTCCCTGGAGACAGGAGAAAAGAGCAGTGACTATTGTTTGCTGAGCTATGGCTGCAGTGCCAGAAACCTGTGGGTCACCAGGCTCCAGGACAGCCAGGACACAGTGGTGAGGAGACAGAGAGAGCTACTGGCTAGCCCTCATTTGCAACTGAGGAAATGCATTCAGGGAACCAGGGAAGACAGAGCAACAATGTCCACGGAGGACTCTAGTTCTCTGACAGAGGTATTCATGTGCCCACTCATCCAGTTTTCACACGCCCAACGGATGAAAAGAAGGTGAGGAGCAGGCAGTGAGAGGCTGAGCTAGTGTCCTTGAAGTCTTGGCTCAACTTACAAAAAAAAAAAAAAAAAAAGCATAAATAAAATACACCAAGTATGGTGGCAAATGCTTTTTTACTTATTTATTTGGGGTTTTTGTTTGTTTGTTTTTGAGACAGATTCTCACTGTGTAGCCTTGACTGGCCTCAAACTCACAGATATCCACCTACCTCTGCCCCTGCACCACTATGCCTTCTAGAGCACACCTTTAGTCCCAACACTTGGGAGGCAGAAGCAAGCAGATCTCTGTGAGTTCTAGGCCAGCCAGGACTGCATAGTAAGAGTGTGTCTCAAAAGAAAAGAAGAAAGAAAGAGAGAAAGAGAAAAAGAAACAAAGAGAATATTCATATTCCAGTAGCCACATGGCAGCTCAAAATTGTCTGTAACTCCAGTTACAGGGATCCAACACCCTCACACAGACATACATGCTAGCAAAACAACAATGCATTTGAAACAAAAATAAATTAATCATCTTTAAAAAAAAAAAAAAAAAAAAAAAAAAAAAAAAAAAAACAAAAAAAAAAACAAAGAAAGCCAAGTGGTAGTGACCCATGCCTTCAATCCCAGCACTTGGGAAGCAGAGGCCCGCAGATCTCTCAGTTTAAAGCCAGTCTGGTCTACAAAGTAAGTTCCAGAACAGCCAGGGCTACACAGAGAGATCCTGTCTTAGAAAGAAAAAGAGATAGAAAGAAAGAAAGAAAGAAAGAAAGAAAGAAAGAAAGAAAGAAAGAAAGAAAGAAAGAAAGAAGAGAAAGAGAAAGAAAGGAAGGAAGGAAAGAAGGAAGGAAGGAAGGAAGGAAGGAAAGAAAGAAAGAAAGAGAGAAGGAAAGAAAGAAGGAAAGAAAGAAGGAAAGAAGGAAATAAAAATATAAAATGGGGCACAAAGTGTAGGACGTTCCAGGAACCTGTCCAGTGTGGCCCTGCACCTGTGCAAGTCCCAGAGGCGGGACCCTGAGGGAGGCCCATTGGATGACAGGCTGGGGTGATAACCTGAAGGCCCTGGAGGGATGTCACAACATCCCATAATCTTGAAAGCCTTAAGGGTTGGCTGCCCTACCATTTTACTTCTTTTTTAAAGAATTTTTTTTAAGATGTAATTTTCGCCAGGCAAGGTAGTGCATGTCCTCCGCAGGTGAGAGTCTGCAAGTCTGAGGCCAGCTGGGTCTGCACAGCAAGTATTACATCAGCCAGGGCTCTACAGTCAGATCCGTACTAAAAAGAAAGATAGATATATACGATCTTAGTTATTTATTTATTTATTTTTAGGTTTTTTGGTTTGGTTTGGTTAAATTGGAGGGGGAGTTATTTGTTTTGTTTTGTTTGTTTGTTTTGTTTGTTTGTTTTTTCAAGACAGGGATTTTCCATGTCCCCCTAGAACTCAGAGATCTGCCTGCCTCTCTTATGAGCGCCGAGATTAAACACATAGGCCACCACCACCCAGCAATTATTTATTTTTACTTCTGCATGGTTGCCGTGTGTGAGTGTGAGGCCCGAGAAATCAGAGAAAAGTGTCCTGTCCCCTTGTTGGAGTTTCCATCATTGTGAGCTGCCTGATACGGGTGCTAGGAATTAAACTTGGGTCCTCTGAAAGCAGTAAGGGCTCTTAACAGCTAAGCCGTCACTCTGGCCCCCCTAATTTTTTGTATTACATGGTGTGTGTGTGTGTGTGTGTGTGTGTGTGTGTGTGTGTGTGTGTGTGTTGGAGCGAGCATTTGCTGCAGTGTGGTTGTGGAGGGCAGAGGACAATGTGCAGGGGTCAGTTCTCTCCTTCCTTCCGCTGTGTGGCTTCTGGGGCTCAGACTCTGAACATTACTCTCTGAACCATCTCACCCGATCAGAGTTCCACTCCCCATCCCCCAGCACTGGGGATCGGACTCCGGGTCTTGCACACACTAGGCAAGAACTTTAGCACTGAGCCACACACACACACCCCCACCCCCAACCCCAGCACTGCCTTTCTGTCTTGCCTGCTCTCCTTTGAGAGCTCTGTTTTGTGGAGCTCTGAGTGTGAAGACAGTGGCACCCCAGCTTTCACAGGCAGCAGCCTATTCATTCTGGGAGACTTGGGGGCTCAGGTTCTCCTGGGACCCTGCAGAGTATCCTAGCCGCAGGACCTGCCTTTCCAGAGAAGTACTGTCCTTTGATTTGTTGGTCGCCATTCAGAAGACAGACAGGGGTCCAGGAAGGGGTCCCCTGAGGCAACCACAATAGTCAGAACAAGATGCCCAGTCGCCCTGGGTGAGCAGGGAAAATGCAGGAGAGCTGCTGAGGTGGATTCTCTGTTAGCCGCCCTGCTGGTTTCCTTGGTATCTCCTGCCTACACGTGTATATCTGAGTTCTTGCTTAGGTATCCATGTACACCTATGCGTTCGTACGTGTTGTGCCTCTGTGTGTGTGAGAGAGAGATGTTCTGTATCGGTGAGCCCGTGTCTGCGTGCTTCTGTACACACGCCTATGGCTGTGATGTGGAGGGACGCAAGCAGCTTGAACTGGTCTTGTTTGGTAGACCTGGCTTTCACTCACGTCTGTCCAGGAGCATGAGCGGGGGCAGGTGTGGAGTGCTGCTAATGTCCTGAGGGCAGTGCCTTGGCAGTCCATGTGAATGGCTGGTCACATTTACCTGTCAGACCTTCAATGCAAGGTCCAGCCTAGGTCTATCTACTCAGGGGCTCCAGATTCTAAACATAGGGTAAAGAGTACCTTGCTGAAATCAGGGGTTGGCTTTGGGAAAGGGCCTGTGCAGAGTGTGTAGGAATTCACCCACCTGAGAAGGAAAGGGTGTTCCAGTCTGGGGTCCTTGGCTAGCTCAGAGAAATTCCCCACTCGGAGGAAGGGTTGGGCTGGGTGCTGGGAGATCTGAAAACCAGTCCCCAGGTGCCTGTGTTCCCAGAGGGACAGGCTATACTGGAAGTATTGGGTTGCTCCATGACTCATTGCAAGGCACCAAAGGGACAGTGAGTCTCTGGCAGGCAGGAAGTTTTCCCACAAAATCACTCATCAGGGGCCTGAGACAATGAACCTAAAGTCCCCAGCCCTTGCATCCCCTGACCCCTAGGGTGTAGAGAGGGGTCTTTCAGAGGAAGAAAGGTAATTTCTTAGAGACCTCCAGGCGCCTAGCCTATCCTCACTGGCGAGGGGACATTGCACCTGGTCTCGGGTCTCTAAAGTTGTTCTTGGGGACACCCGCAAGCTATCTGACCCTGGAGAACCTGGGGACCAACTGCACCCCAAGCGAGGCTGCTTTACCTCAGCCCTCTGGGCTCACATACTGCTCCAATCCCCACCCCACCCCCACGTCCCACAGGCTGCAGGGCCTGCATGTTGGGACATCTGTCATCTGATAAGTGTGCTTTAGGGGATCAAGTAGCTGGGACTGAGCACCCTTAGCAGGTGAGGCTTTAACCGGGCCAAAGGAGCAAAGGGTGACGGTGGAGCTGCGTTAGCATGTATTGCTGCAACAGCATACTCTTTCCCCAGGATCCAGTGTCCTGCCATTGTGGCTCTTGTGGTCACCCTCCTAGGAGCTGTCCTCAGCTTTACCTGTGTCCCTGTCACCACCAAGGAGGCCAGTGTCCAATCAGACCATCAGGGTAAGCCCCACCTGCCCACCGCTGGGTCAATGGGCACTACCTTGCCCCAGAAGCCAGCACCCTGGTCCCTCTACTGGAGATGAGGGAAAGACCAGCCAAGGGGTTCAGGGGACACAAAGAGGAGATGGGGTCTCCTCTCCACTTCTTGCTACTGATTCCTTGTGGGTTAAGCTGGGCACGATTATGGGAGTCAGGTAAGCCAAGTCACCGAGCAGGAAGGCCTTTTAAGGCAAGTCTAGAAAAGCCAAGGAACACACAGCGGACACAGGGATGTGGGCGTGGCTGCTAGTCTCTGGGGTGCTGAGTGTCCAGAGCCACATGAGTTACCGACTCAGTGGGTGATCCCACTGAGCCAGGCTGGCTCTCCAGATGGGTCAACTCTATGCTTTTGCCCAATGATTGACAAGGAGACTTCCCTCACGGACTCCTTGAGATAGGAGGCTATGAAACAAGAAGGAAAAACAGGGCCCCAGGGGACATCTATGCATAGCTGGGAGCTGGTGGCCAAGAGTGTCCTGGGTGTCCAGGCATGCCTCTGTGGCTGTCATTGCCTTCCACTTTGTCAAGAAGGTTGAAGATCTAAGAATGCTCCAGCAGAGCTGCCGGGTTCATCTTCTCCCTGCTCTGCCTGGGATGCAGGACTTCTGGGTTAGCCAACATGTGATGAGTGGCCCAATGCCCACCCCCAGAGGCTCTGGGAGGAGGCTGCCAAGAGAGTAGTCAGCCGCTGCTCACTTCGGCAGCACATATACTAAAATTGGAACGATACAGAGGAGATTAGCATGGCCTCCGTGCAGGGATGACGCACAAATTCATGAAGAGTAGTCAGCTCTAAGCCTGGGGGGGACAAGGTTGGCAGCAGAGCCCCACAACCAGTGTTCTGACTGATGTCCCCTGGTGGCCAGGTAGAACCAAGGCCAGCGTATTTGACCTGAAAGCTATCACCCGCCTGCTACTGCTGCCTAAAGTGCTGCCTGTATTCCTGGTCAAGGTCATCTCTGGCTTCCCTTCAGGTGAGTCTCACTGCCCCATCATCCCCACTTGTGTCCGGGGTCTGAGATGGCTGAGAACCCAAGCCCTGGGGACCCAGGTCTGTAGGTGATGCTTTGCTCTGCCTGTGAGTCCTTATTGTCCAGCTACACCTGTGGGGGCTTCCAGAACACACAGTGGGTGCAGATTGAGGTTGTGTGCTAACACAGAGGGAGGAGAAGGAGATCAGAGCCCTCCCCGCTGTGCCCTGGACCCTCTTGTGAATCATCACCATGGCCCACAGACCCCTGCTAACCTTAAGTCTCACCACCCAGGCCTGGCTTCCAGGGGTGCCACCTAGCTCTGAGAGGCAGCCAGACTTGGAGACTCTTGCTCTGACCATCTGGTGAAGGAACACAGAACCCCATACCTAGTCTGCTCAGCTTTGAGTATGCCAGAGTGACCCTATTTTTCAGGGATGGCCACACAGTCTGAAGGCTTTGTTTGTGGTACGGAGACTAGAACCCAAAGCCTCACAAAAGCCAGGCAGGGGTCCTACCACTGAGCTATTCTTGCTGCGGGTTAAGGGGTACTCTAACCCCAAAGGTTCTAGACCCCTGGCAGGAATAGAAGGGGCCACAAGAAAGTGCCCCACCTGCTGTCTGGGTCAGGGTCCAGCTATTGAGGCTGAATGTTTCAGCTACAGTGACCAGAACCGGAGAACACACAACCTATGTAGCAGGGGCCTCTGAGAGCTCCCGTTACTTCCTGGGTTCCCATCCTGGCACCTTGTGGCTTACAGGGACTCCTTAGCAGCAGCCCTTCAGGTCACCTTCTACAGAATCCCAGAGGGTGTTCCATGCCCTCCCTAGCCAAGCAAGTCCCCTCCCCAGGACACAGGGGAGAGGTGTGTGCTTCAGTGGGGCCTGGCAGCACAGCTGATCTGCTTCTCTATCCAGGACTCTTCATGGTGATGTTCTCCATCATCTCTATGGACTTCTTCCAGCTGGAGGTTGCACAGACTGGCTACCTCATGTCCTTCTTCGGGGTCCTCCAGATGGTGAGTAGGCACGAGCAGAGCACTGCCAGGCGGAGAGGACTCAGTTTCCCAGCATTAGTCTCTGGGAGACCTCCCTGGGTGGCCCTCCTGGCTCCCTCCTTTTCCACCTGGGAAGGTACTGTCTTCAGTGAGAGAGTGTCCATGGAGGCCCACACAGAGACACAGAGGATGGGGGGGGGGGTTTCTCAGCACTTGGCTTCCCATCCTACAAAATGGCAGAGAGCAGGGTCAACTCAGTACATGCCTCAGTGCTGGGCTGTAGACAGGTTTTGGAGGGACCGAAGACACCAGAAATAGGCACGTTGTGATGGGGGTCTGTCTGGAGCCAGTGTCTGCCCTCCCTAGCTGTGTAACAGCAAGTTTCTGGACTCCATCTCCTTTCTTCGTCAAGTGATGCTAAGTATGCTGCATGTTCCGTGAGGTAGCCAGGGATGCATGAAAGATTCTGGGCACTCGAGGAACATCTGATATGTGAAGAGCCATCTAATATGCTATCCTTATAGAAGCTAGGAGCTTCTGGCTGCTGGGAGTCTGGGGTGCCCTTGAGCCAGTTTGAAGCAGGGGATCACGTATTCTCTCAGCCAACCCTGCAGGGCCCCCTGGCTCCAAGGCCAAGGCCAGCATAGTCAAAGCCAGCTACCCCTTCTCTAGTTCCTACTGGCATTTGCCCAGACCCTGGGTGGCAGAGACAGGTGGTGATATGCCACCATGGCGCCGTGTGACTTGACTGTCAGTCCGCTGGTGCCCAGGAGTGGCTATTCTGAGACTTGCAGAAGAGGAGTCTAGATCACTCCGGAAGCTTGCTCACATTTCTGGCACCACTGGGCCATCTGTTCTCTGAGCTCCCAGGCCCAGAGCTGGCCTACTCCCTAACCATCCCCCCACGAAGGACAGTGAAAGCTTCTAATCTGCACCAGCAAGAAGGGACACACTGATGGGGATAAATAAAATAAAGAAAACCAACAATACTGACCAATGGCTGAGCGGAGCTTCGTCCTAAATGGACTGCGTGCTGAGAATGTAGCTCAGTTGATAGAATGCCTACCTAGCATGCACAAAGCCTGGGTTCCAGCAGCACATAACCAGACATGGTAGTTATAATCCCGACACTCAGGAGTCGGAGGTAGGAGGATCAGAAGCTCAAGATCATCCTTGACTACATAGTGAATTTTTTGGTCTAGACTGAGCTACATGATACCCTTCTCAAAAATTAGTGAATGAATGAATGAATGAATGAATGAATGAATGAATGAATGAATGAATGAATGAATTAGCCTTCCTTGCAGCCAGGCCCCACAAGCCTGTACTCAGTGTAAGTCCAGGCCCTTTTGAGACTCTTGGACACAGATACTTCTGTGGTCCATGGTTTTGGTGTGGTAACCTGGGATTGTTGCAGAGGTCTAGAAAGAGGAGTCCGGCTTGGGGACCTGGTGAAAGGGAGAATGGGAAGAGGAGGCAGAGGACAAGTGTGTCAGAGCTCTGGGCCCTAAAACCAACAAGGAGTGGGTAGACTTGTGCCCTTGAACAGAGGGTAAGGCTGAGAGCCAGGCATGTCCCAACCATATCAGGATGAGAGTGATCACCAAAAGTCCCCAAGAAGAACAAAATTCCCATTCAAGCCTTATCCTGCCTACGCCGTAAGCTCCTACAGGGGACTCGAGAGAGTGGCATGCAGGGAGTTCTAAGGTATGGGATTAGGATCACGGTTCCAGCAGGTGTACAGACCCTCTCCTCCCTCTCCCTCTGCCTCTTCCTCTCCCCCTCCCTCTTCCTCTCTCCCTTTCCCCCTCTACCCCTTTCCCCATCTCCCCTTCTTCTCTCTCTTTCTCTCTCTCTCTCTTTCTCACACACACGCACACATTGCTTGTTTGTTTGGGATTTTTTTTTGAGACAGAGTTAAAAAAAAAAAAAAAAAAAACCTGGCTGTCCTGGAACTCACTCTGTAGATCAGGCTGGCCTCAAATTCAGAGACCTGCCTGCCTCTGCCTCCTGAATGTGGGAATTAAAGGCATGCGCCACCACACCCAGCTAGTAGACCAGGTCTCTTGAGGACCCTTCAAGAGGTATTCCTATGGTAGCCCTGATACCTGACTGTCACCCAGAGCTTTTTCTAGGACACTCACCATGCAGAGGCCACTGAGGTGGGGACAGTACAGAGCTACTAGGGTACCAAATAAGATGCTGAGTAAGAAGAGAGACACTGGAAAAGAGGGAGGAGAATGCAGGCAGAAGGAAATAGCAAGGAGTGGAGGAGTGGATGTTGGGGTTAGGATCAGGGGTTGTAATCTCCATGGGAACAAAGACCCCGGTAGGACCAGATCAGGCAACATTTACAGGGGAGGGTGGCCTGCCGGTTTAATGGGAGTGGTAGAGGGTCTGAGGAAAGGAAGCCTTAGGCTTTAACTGCTAGGTAGAGGGGCAGCAGCAGGGACTGGCTTGGCTAGTTGGCTGACTGTGTGGGAAGGCAGAGGCTACAGCTGGGAAGACTGAGGGAAAGTGGCCTTCTTGGCTGCTTGACTAACCCCACTGTTTTGTCAGATAACGGCGAGGCCTTCACAGCGTCTAGAAGCTTATTTTCAATTTAATGGGGAAGTTGAGGCTGGGGTGGTTAATCAGGATGTAGGCCCAAGTGGCGGAGGCCAGGATTAAATGCTTCCATAAAACCAGTCTAGAGAGGATTTGTTTTTTTTAAGACATTGATGGTTCTGTAATAAGCAACCGGGTTTTGCCTGGCCTAAGTGGGGGTTGTGGCTGGACCGGTTTGGGCTCTATAGGCCTGAGTCCAACTCCCATGAACCCTGACAACCACTGGCCCCAGCAACCTGACAGCTTCTTGCTCGGACTCTATTTAATCCTGGCCTTTGGTCCCATCCACTTCCTTCCTGGTAGTGACGGGCACTTTCTATCTGAAAGAGGAGATAGGAAGCCTCACCCTGGGCTGCCTGGCCTGCTGAGTCATGTCTCTGGTGTCCCCCAGTGTCACTGGTAGGGATTCTCTTTCCTTTTTTGTGGAGAGGAATCACTGTCCTGTGACCTTGTGACTTTCTAGGATCCTCACGGTTCAAATGTTTCTTCTGGTGGCAGTCCCTGCTGGGAGAGGAGATCCTCTCAGGGATGTAGATGGTGACAGGCCCCCAGCCACCAGGACAGAGGTTTTCTTACTTTGAAGGTATCATCAGAATTATCAGGGTCAGAGCTTAGGTCGTGGTACCCTAACAACTTTGGCTCAGCTGCTCATTCTCAATATGTCAACCAAAGAGACAGGTAATGGTGAAAAGCAGAGAGAGGGGATTTGTTCAATGGGGCCACACTGAGAAGAGGAACAGGGAGGCTCAGTGACCCCCAAGTCCCTCTTTAGGGTATGGACATGAGGTTCAGGCTTAAGCAGAGGGCAGGAGGAGCGCATAACTAAGCAGTCCTGGTCAAGGGGTGGTCCTGTCTGTCACTCACCCATCACTGTCTCAGCAACAGTCTCTCTTGCAAGGTGGTCTGACAAGTTCTCAGAACTCTGGAAGGTCTCTGGAAGACAAGCTCCCTCTGGCTGATACCAGGTTTCAGCCTTTCCCTCCCCCAGCATGAGACTGCTGGGGCAATTCCAATCTCTTGGGATCCATTGTTTCAATAGTCTGATGGCTGAAGAGAGGCTCACGTGTCCCTTTAGAATAGCTTCTCTCCCGATAGAACTCTTTCAAAAGGCAGGCCATGGTCTAGAGCCGTGGTTCTCAGCCTTCCTAATGCTGTGACCCTTTAATACAGTCCCTCATGTTCTGGTGACCCCAACTATAAAATTATTTCTGTTGTTAGTTGGGCGGTAGTAACACACACCTTAAATCCTGTCACTCAGGAAGCAGAAGCAGGTGGATCACAGAGTTTGAGTCCAGCCTGGTGTACAGAGTGAGTTCCAGGACAGCCAAGGCTACCTGTCTCAACCTGTCTCAAAAAAACATAATAATGGTAATAATAATAATAATAATAATAATAATAATAATAATAATAATAATAAAATTTTCCTACTGTTATGAATCATAAAAGTAAATATCTGTGTTTTCCGATGGTCTTACACAACTCCTGTGAAAGGGTCATTTGACGCTCAAAGGGGTCACAACACACAGGTTGAGAACCTCTGGTTTAGGCTGTCTTCCTCTCCCCACTGTCACCCTTCCTAGGTGATCCAAGGCCTGTTCGTTGGGAGACTGAGCACCCATTTCCCAGAGGAAGCCCTGCTGCGATCCAGTGTGCTGGTCTTTGCTGTTGTGGGACTGGGCATGGTGAGAACACACACACACACACACACACACACACACACAATTTAATACAAAAATTATGGGGCTGGAGAGATGGCTCAGCCGTAAAGACCCCTTACTGCATGCACTTATGCATGAAGGCATGCATGAAAGCACACTCACACACACACATGAACATGTGCACACACATGCAAACGTGCACAAACACATACACACACATGCACAAACACATACATGCACACACACACACACAAACACATAGCTGCCCTGTTAAGCAGGTCTCAGCCATCCTCCACCCATGTCCTGTGTGTGCCCAACCCCCTGGCCTGCCTCAGGCCACATTGCACTATTCCTCCTCCCCAGCCCAGGCTTCTTCCACGGTGGAGCATTATGGGCGGGACCTCACGGTGGGTTGTCATATGGCTTTGTAACATCCCTGCTCAGCCTGGCTCTGCCCATTGCTCTGCCAGGTCCTGATGTCCAATATTCTCCACTTTTGCTTCCTGATACCTGGCCTGGTATTCAGTGTCTGTACCCTCAACGTGGTCACTGACAGCATGCTGACCAAGGCTGTGTCCTCTTCAGACACAGGTGAGCTTACTGGGGCCCCCACTTTCAGGATTTCTCCTGGTAGCCTGGGCCAGAGAAGGTGGGCTGACAAGAAAGAAGAGTCCAGGTAGAGATCCTGCCCCTTCCTTGTCCTGCTGATGAGTCCAGAGTCAGGCATGGAAACAGGTGGAGGGCTTCCTGGAAGAGGCATTTGGCTTGGCTCTGATCCATGCCAGAAGTTCACTAAAAAGAGGAAAGACCAGTCAGAGGTCAGATGAGCAAAGGACTGGACCTGAAAGACCTGCCAAGGCCACTTAGGAAGACAGCTGGTGGCTGAAGCAGTGAAGAAGCCAGAGAGGGCGAACAGCAAGGGACGCTTCCTAGTCCTGGACAACACAAGAGCTCAGCACTTCCTGACTAAAGGGTTTGAATCCACACAGCTAGGGGTATCTCCTAGCCTGGCCTCCAAGGATCTCTAGGAGGAGAAGGGGGTGTAAAGGCCAAGCAAGTGGAGGGCAGGGATGGCCAGGAGGAGCAGGACAAGCCACCAAGGCCACATCATACCTGCAACGCCATCTCTCAACACAGAAAGGGCAAGACCTGGTTTGCCTGGGAACAGGAGGTTCGGAGCGGGTGGTAACTGCCCTCTGTCAGTTAGTGTCTTCAGGCATGTAGGCAGTGAGAGAAGCTGCCCCTGAGTTTCCCCACAGCTGGCTCTGAGTGTGGAGAGGCCCTTGTCTTAGCTGAGTTTTAAAGCCTGGTCTCAGAAGTCCCTGGCCAATGAGCAGCAAAGCTCACTCACCTTCTGGAGCAGGGGGAGGCTGAGTATGACTCCCACCTGGGGATGGAAAGCTAGATGGGTGTGTCGGTGTGCCCGTGACTGCTGGCGTCCACTTGCAGTCACTCTAACAAGGTTCTGTGCAGGTATGTCCACACTAAGATAGCTGACCGAGAGGCATGGAGATGGGGGCTTACATGCTCAGGCAAGGACTCTGGTGCCCTGAGCTTGAGACTTAGATGTCCCCCTTTAGGCTCCCTGCAGCCCTGGCCCTGCCCTCGGAGATCTGTTGAATCCTTAGCAGGATGGTAGAGGGGCAAGAAAAGGAAGGGCTATAGGAGAGGTACCAGGGGCACCGTGCCCAATTAGAATGTCAGCCCAAGAGAACCCTACAGTGGCTCAGGGGACCCTCCATAGCCAAATCCATACTGGCCATCTCAGTCACCATTCGGAGAGAGTGTGAGAGCCAGCAGCCCAGATGTCCTAAGTGGAACCCAGCCTACGTATATCTGGTCTACACTGACAGGACTGGGAGGGTATGGTCTATTCCAGACCTTTGCCCTCTTTCCCAGACTCCTCCCTTGCCTGGAAAATATCTAGAGCAGGAGAGAGGCTCGGCTCCATCCCCACAGGGAAACTGACCCTGAGGGTGGAGGTTGCTGTGCCTAATTGGGGTTGGGGGAGGAGGAGGTGAGAGGCAGCTGTGAGGGAGATGGACAGGTGCTCTGAAAAGTGTCTCGAAGCATCTGCGAACGATGTGCAGGGCAGGTTGGGATGGGTAGAAGGCTGGGCTATGGCCAGAAGGTAGGTGGCCTGTCCAGAGACCTGCCCTGCCTCTGACAGCTATTCCCCCTTTCTCCCAGGGACCATGCTGGGCCTCTCTGCATCTGTGCATCCACTGACCCGCACACTAGGACCCACCCTGGGTGGCCTGCTGTACCGAAGCTATGGTGTCCCCGTCTTTGGTTACGTGCAGCTCATGGTGAACTTGCTTGTCCTATTGGTCCTCTGGAGGAAGCCATTGTCCCAGAAGGGAGACAGAGCCCGGTAACCACAGAGCCCAGGGACCTGGCCCAGTCTGTCAATAAACTGAACCTCCTCTTCTTAAGTTCTTGGGACTTTGCCTAGATCTGTGGGTAGAAAGCCTTGGGATCAAGGATGGAGCCAAGCCAGAGGGCTTTCTGAAAGAGCAACTACAGCTGGGCCCAAGGCTCTAAGGAGCACACATTTGCCCATCAGTTCAGGTCATTAATCTATCCCTTGAGTCCTCCAACACAGCCATTGAGGAATCCTCCAGAGAACCCAGACGGCTCTAGCATAGCCAAGAGACAAGGGTGTTCCTCTCCCCTGGCTCACACTGGGATCTGAAGTAGGTTGGTTTCAAGACAGGAGCCAGTTGTGATAGCGCATGCCTTTAATCCCAGAATTCAGGAGGCAGAGGCAGGCAAATCTCTGAGTTCAAGATCAGCCTGGTCAATATGCTAACTAGCAAGTTCCAGGACAGCTAGGGTTACACACATAGTGAGACCTCATCTTTAAAAGAAGAGGGAGAAAGAGGTCGTGGAAGGGGAGGAGGGGAACTAGGTCTTGGGGATGTGTGGGGGCTTCTGGGAACCAAGCACATAACCCCAGCCTTCCCAGCTTTAGACTACAGTGAGAACACTGGCCTAGCCCATCAAGCCTGGTCTACAGAGGGAGTTCCAGAACAGCCAGGGCTACACAGAAACCCTGCCTTGAAAACAAAACAAACAAACAAAAACTCCATACATGATTAATAAAATATAATTTAACAAAAACAAAAAACAAGCCAGGCACACACCTTTAATCCCAGCACTCCGAAGGCAGAGGTAGGCAGATGGATCTCTGAGTTTGAGGCCACCCTGGTTTACAGATTGAGTTCCAGGATGGCCAGAGCTACACGGGGAAATTCTGTCTCAGGGGTGGGGATAAAAACAACAACAAAAAAAAAACCAAAACAAAACAAACAAAAAAACAATCTTAGAATTCTCAAACCTCAGAATCCTGCAGTCCCCAAACTGTGTTATCCATCTGAAGTCCAGCTACAAGCTCAGGACCCAGTGTACACTTAAACCCCACCAGGAAAAGGGGCTCACCACCTGAGTGTGGTCATTTGACCATATGAGGAGCTGTGAGGGGGAAGGTCCTTAGAGGAATGGGATAGCAGGGTCCCGAGACCCCCCGCTGGTCACTTCTGCTCTTAGAAAAGCCCCTCCCCCGTTCGCTGTAAGAGAAACTTCCTTGTAAGAAAAAAACAACTCCAGCACCAAGCCTTTCTAAGGAGAAAGAGGTGCCCCTTCCAGTGCTGGCTTCTCAGGCCAAGCTGGGAGGCCTGTGGCACCCTCCATCATCATGGCATTTCCGTAGCCAGAGAGGCCCAGGAAAGACAGTGCCTGCTTGGGCAAGGACTCGTGTCTGTCATTAAGCCTTATGGGGCTCGTCCTCCAGTAAAACCTTGGGGGAAGGGCTATACCTCTGTAACAGGCCCTACCACCTGGCTGCCTGCCTACCTGACACAGACTTTGAGCCACTTAAGGAGAACACAGTCAGGTGAGCAGAGTTGACACCTAGCAGGTAACTTGAGAAGTGGGGTAGAAGTAGGACAGAGGGCTGGTGAGCTCTCAGGCTTCACACCAGTACCACAGGTCCGGGCCTCACCGCTCGGTCACTGGAGATAGCCAGGCCTGCCTCCCATTGGTGACAAAAGATGTACCCAGTGCGCTATCCCTGTTCCTAGACACTGGGCGGGAGGGCTGGTGGCTGGACTCTGGAGCCACTGGGGTCCAGTGATGGGGGGGGGGGGGGGGGGCAATGAGCAGTCAACGGTCCTTTGAATCAGCTGCCGGACAGACGGTATGTGGGTGGGAGGGAACAATGAGGGCGCCGAGTAGACAGAGCCACTGCTCAGGTGTCCAGGAGGCGTCTACTAGTGAGTGAACTCCTGAGCAAGCATGGCCACCAGCCACACCCAGGAGCAAAAGGTAGCCAAGCCACACCCAGAGTACTTCCTGACCTGGAGAGGCTGTGAACCCCACGGGAGGTGACAGTTCACGCAAAGGAAGTCTGAATGGCTCCTGGGATGTGGAGAGGGAATGATACTGGATGGGAGACCCTTCCACTCCCGCCCTTCCACTCCCGCCCTTCCACACACGCACACACCAGCAGGAACTACACGGACCGCGCAAGTTGTTAGAAAAATATGGCATTGTTTATTTGGAATGAAAACATGGTATAAAAATATTAAGACGGAATGGTGGGTTGGGAATAGTGACCATCGGTATAAAAACAGTCCAATAAGTTAGCGCGCCCGCACAGCAGGGCGAAGCTCAGCGAGCACGGGAATATCTTCAGTGAAGAGCGGCCGCGTCCTGGGCTCTCCTGTCTGACGCAGCCGCGTGGGCTGGTTCCCGGCTCAACAGGTCCCGTGCGTCTCTGTGGAGAGAGAACTGAGTCACGAGCTGTCGCGGTGCAGTGTCGTGACTCAAGTAGGGCGAGCGACTCCTGCCACGCGTCCCAAAGTGGTAGGATTCCCCACACTCTCCCCCTTGGCTTTTGGAATCGAAGTTTTCCCCCCTGGGCAGCACGAACCCTCATCCACACCCCACCCCACCCCCCGCCATGCCCCATACTCCGACGATGGCGGGTGATGGCGGTACTCACCACGGATCCCGGGTGTACTCATCACGGGGGTCCGGGTACGCGGCACACGCGGAGCGGTAAAAGCGGTGGCGGCGGACCTCTTCCAGAGCCCGACGGTTCTGGAAGTCGATCAGCGCCATGGTGATGGCGGCGTTCCAGCAGCTCTCGCTCGTGCATCGGAAGTCGATCTCCTTGTAGTGGTTGGTGACGATGGTGAAGTACACGTACTTGGAGGTGTGCTCCACGCAGTCCACCTTGAGGATGGAGTGGAAGTACAGCTCCTTGACGCGATCGCCGCTCCCGAAGAGGCGCAGGCGGTCGGCGGTGAGCACCGCGCGCTTCTTCTTCCAGACCTGGAAGAGGCTGTCGCTCCGCTTCTCCAGCTCGCCTTCGCGGATGATCTCGCCCTTGCTCTCCATGACGTTCGAGGCCATTTGGAAAAGCTGCACCAAAGGAAGCTCTCTGGCTCTGCTGCGGCGGGCCGCGGGCTCCGGCCTTTTAAGGACTCCGCCTCCAGGACTAGCCACGCCCCGTAGCCGGGCACTGTCCTGCCCAGGCAGGCTCCTGGAGCTGCCCCCACCAACCGCCCCGGGCTGCCCCTTACCCATTGCCTGGGGCTGCCGCTTATCGGAGGCCGAGGAGAGGAGGGGGGAGCTGCCCGGCGCCTCTCTGACGGGAGCCCCGAGCCTCCCCTCCAGCCCCAACGTCCCCTCCCATCCCGGGCTCCGGCTCCGCGTGCCGAGAAACGCACTGCAGCGACCCCGGCCCGCGGTGACTCACGGGGCCGGGAAGGCCCGGGAAAGCGCCCGGACCCCTAGACGGGACCACAGCGCTCAGAACCCCACTCTCAGGAGACCCAAGGCTCCTGAGCACGAGAGTTGTGGACCCAAGAGTTCTCTCCAAGCTCTGGCCGCCGCCACCTCCCACTTGGGGAGCATCCAAAGGCCACCCACTAGCCTTTCTTGGGAAACGGCTCTGCCACCCCTATTGCTCCCCGGAGTCGTGCCTCGAAGGAGTTCTCTGAGTTTCTTTTCCCTTCTGTAAAATGGGACGATGACCTTTATTAAGTTAGGCGGTGAGGAAGGGGAACGGCACCCCACAAGGCTCAGCCATGTTAGCCGAGAAGCCCCTCTCCTTCCGAGGGCCCTTGGGTGTTCCAATCTGGACGACGGACCCCTCGGGCTGCGACCCGACAATCCTGACTTGCAGAAAACTCAAAGGGCGCTAGCAAAGCTAGCCTGGGGAATGCCGGGACCCACCTAGGGGCCAGGAATGGCGGGGAAGGCTGACTCATCGCCTTTCGGTGCACGGTTTTATTTACCCTGTGCTTTTAAAGGTTTAATAGGGGCAGGAAGCTCCTCCACGGTTCCCAGGGACGGGAGAGGGACCCCTGTTGGGGTGGGATGGGGGGTTAGGAAACCCACCCCCCCCCCCCCCCCCCACCGCTGGAGAACCAGACACCCTGCTTCCAGGCGGGCTGGCTTCCAGGGAAAACGCAGGTCTCTCCATTTAAACAATTAAAATTTAAGACTGAAAGTTCAGTTCTGTGGCCTGGTGTGGTTCCGGGACGGGAATACCCTGCAATAAGGAGGCTGAGGCAGAAAATGACCACTCTAGGTCAGCCTGGGTGTTACAGTGAGTTCGGGACTACCCAGAGCCGCAGAGGAAAAATGAAATAAGGGGACTGGAGAGACGGCTCCGCAGTTCAGAGCGACTGCTGTTCTTGCCGAGCAGCTAAGTCTGGTCCCTGCTCCCAGGTGGATCTATCCGTAACTCCGTCTCCTGTCCTCTCTCCTGTCCCCCACCCAGAACACACACGCATATATAAAAATAAATCTTAGAAAGAAACGTGGGACCGGCCCAGGGGTAAAGAGTGCTTGTAGCTTTTTCAGAGGACCTGGGTTCCAGTCACCCACAGGGTGGCTTACAGTCACGCGTAACCCCACAGGACGTCTTCTGATTACATGCAGACAGAGTCACTCAAACACATAAAATGAACTAAATTTAATTTTTTTAAAAATACATGAACAACAAAAAGAGGCCCGGAACAGGCTGTTGACCTCGATGACTTGAGTTTAATCCCTGGTATCAACGGCTTGGAAGAAGAGGACGTGAGTTGCTCAGGTTGCCCTCTGACCTTTGCGCAAATGTTTGCTCCAGCTCTCACGCATACCAACGCAGTGTTAAAAAAAAAAAAAAAAAAATTCTTTTTAAATGAAGAAATAAATGAAATGAATGAAGCAATTCTGACTGAGGACCCACCGACTCTCACTGTGTTCCACGGGCCCCCTTTCCCCAGCACACACAGAACCCTGCCCTTCAGGATCCCTGAGGAAAAAGGAGCCTTGCAAGCTCTGACCATGGCCCCCGAGGGGAGGGTGTGTGAAAGAGCAGGAGCCTTGTCCTGGATATCTGTGCAAGAAAGGTGCAACAGTATAGAGAGAAAGGCAGCAGTCAGCCCTGTCTGTCTTCGATGAGAGCAGTCCAGGGGTGGCTGCGAGAATGCTCTTGGGACCATTTTGGGTAGGACAGGTAGTGAGCCTAAGATGGCGGCTTCCGGGAGAGTGTCGGCTCGCCCTAGCCTCCCTTCCCCAGGCTGCTTAGACACGCTATGGCCTGTGCTGCCTCTGTGTGGTGTGCTCCAATTAGTGAAGCCTGAGCCAAGGGGCCTCTCTAGAAAGTGAAGGGACAAGGAACAGGGTCTCTCTGCAGCTGCCCCGGCCACTCTTCCCATCAGCACTCTCCAGCCTGTTCTCCGTGCTCCGCGCGGCTCAGGGAAGCCCCTGCCCCAGGGCTCTCAGTCATTTGCTCCGGCACCTGTGCGATCTGCGTAAGTGCTGCAGAGGCAGGAGGGAGCTCTGCAGAAGTACAGCTGAGCGATGACAGTGTGAGAATGGGGGCGGGAAAGGGTCTCCAAAAGATTATGGAGGGCCTTTTGCTATCCAAGTTACCAGGCACGGTGCCCAGCTTCCACCACCATGCCAGGGATCCGGGCAGACTATTCTAACCTTTGTCACTGGAGAAGAAATAAGTGCAAGGGAGAGAGGGCCTGGATGACCCCCTCAGGGCAGAGGAGGCCGGTGAGCACTTAGAGAGGGTTGGGCAGGTGACAGCCTCTCCTTAATGAGAAGCCCTGCTGCTCTCTGGAAGTTAGGGTTTACCTGGGACAGGGTCCTGCGGGAGGGAAGGAAGTGGGGAAAGGATCTGGGAGGCTGGGCACAGGGCACAGAGAGCTCTGTCTCTCATCCTCCTGAGGGCTTTCTGTCCACACAATCCAGGGCCCTCAGACAAGGTCATCCCTGAGTGTGGGATGTGGCGGCTCCTGGAGAGCTGGTGCCCAGATAGGTAGAGCTGACTGACAATGCCAGTCCCTCGGCTGGTCACCAGACAGCCGTCAAACATCCCGTGGTGTAGCGTGGCCAAGTCAGTAAGAACCCTGTTGGTTGTCGGTGCTCCTGGGTAGGCAGAGACTTTTTTTATCGACACCCTTCGGAACACCTGCCCACACAGGTACTCAGAGCAGTGTTGTGTCAGGGTCACGCTGCCAGGAAGGTTCGGAACCCAACCCTCAGAGGCCATCTGAGTATCCTGAATAAGGGGACTGAGATGGCTGTTTCCCAGGCCGGTGGGGTAGGTGTCAGGAGAAATCTGACTCAGGAGCCCAGGAGAGAGGCATTGGGGCCCCAAGCCTTTCATTGAGACAGGGTCTCCTGCAGTCCAGGCTGGCTTTGAACTTGCTGTATAGCAGAAAACAACCCTAAGCCTTTGGTCCTCCTGCCCCCACCTGTCAAGTGCTGGTGTGCAGGACCCCTGGTTTTATGCAGTGTGCCTCAAACTCAGGGCTTTGACCACGCTAGGCAAGTGCTCTGCCAACTGAGCTACAGCCACAGCGCCCTCTTTTAATTTTTTTCCTTTGTTTACACTTGTCTATGTCTGTGCACAGGGGTTCTTGTGCCACAGCAGAAGGGGGTAAAAGGAAAAGTGTGGGGAGTTTGTTCTCTCCTTCCACCGTGGGTTCTGGGGACAACATTCAGGTCATCAGACATGAACAGCAATTGCTTCTACTTGTTGAGCTGTCTTGCAGCCACCCCCCCCCCAGTTCCTTTTATATAAACTCCCTTTTTAAAAAAAATTTAAATTAAAGTTGAAGAGATGGGTCAGGATTAAGCGAACAGGCCGCTTTTGCAGAGGAGCTAGGGTTCGTTCCCAACATCTACAGCCGCTCACAACCATCTAACTTCATCCAGTTCTTGCGGGTCCAGCACCCTCTTCTGGCCTCCTCAGGTACTGCATTAATATGGCGTACAGATGTATACACAAGCATTCATAGAAATCATAGAATCAAAATAAACAAATATCTTCAAATCCTTTAAATTTAATTTAATTTAATCATACTAGACATCAAATCCTGGGCCTTGTGTTACAGGCAAGAGCTCTACCTACTCCTGAGGTATTCCTCGGGCCCTGCCACCCTCATGTAGCCCTGGAAGTCAGGAGGCATAACCTTCAGCTGAGCCTCCACCCTCCTTCCACTGGTCAAGTGCTAGGATTCCAGGTGCACACCAGCACTCCTGTCCTCATGCAGTGCAGGGGACTGAACCCAACGTCTCATGCATGTTACACAAGCACTCGGCCGACTGACAGGCTCCTAACAGCCAAGAACAATCCTAGTGCAAAGAACAGACCTCAGTTTCTTGCAAGGATAAGCCTGGTGTAGACTGGGCTGTGCCCCTGGGAGGGATGTTTCGCCTGGCCTCTAGGTCAGCTGACACCCAAGGAGAGTCCAGTGTGGCCCGGCTCCATGCTCAAGCTGGGGTCCTCTCTCTTTCATTATGATTACACTGCAAAGGGGGACGGGAGGTGTGGACACTCAGAAAGGTGGGGTGACTCAACTGGTGTCACATAGCAGTCCATAGTATTCACACCCAGAAGTCTAATCAAGGGCTGAAGAGATGGCTCATCTCTTAAGAGCACTGGCTGCTGCTCAGTGAACCTAGGAGTTTGGTTCCTTTCCAGCTGCTTACAACTGCCAGCAATGCCTGGGGATCGGCTGCCCTCTCCTGGCCACAATAGGTACTGCGTACATGTGTCATCCACATGAATATCCATATACATAAATACAATTAAATCTTTTTCTTTTTTCCTTTCCTTTATTTTATATGTATGGGTTCTTAGCCTACATGCACATCTGTGTGTCACGCACATGCAGCACCCGCAGAAGCCAAAGGAGAATGTCAGATCCCCCGGGATTGGAGTTATAGATAGTGGTAAGCCACCCTGTGGGTACTGGGAATAGAACCTGGGTCCAGTGCTCTTAACCACTAAACCACCTCTCCAGATTCCCATTTATTTATTTTTTTTGATACAGGGTCTCATTGCGTAGCCAGTTCTGGCTGGCCTGGAACTGGCTACTAGAGCAGGTTGACTTTGAACTCAGGAAGATCAGCCTCTGCCTCCCGGTGCTGAGATTTAAAGTGTGTACC